CGCAGAGCTCGCCGACCACGACAGGCGCCTTGCCCAGGGCGCCGCGGAGCTGCGCGGGCGCGGCGGATCTCCTCGCCCGCCGCCGGCCGCCCCCGCACGTTGGCCACCCGCTTGACGGGCGACTGACTTGCAGACGCAGCAGCAGGCTGCGCGCTCGCAGCCGTGCCCCCCTCCTCTCGAAAAAAAACAACTGCTTGGCTGCCGCCTGGGGCTGGGTCTCCTTCGCTAGTCTCACTCTTCCTGCCCCCGAGGCGGGCCACGCGCTGGCGTTGCTCCTCCATGGCGGCCCGGGCTTTCTCCAGGGCGCCCTTGAAGGCGCTGGAGAGGGCCGCCTGGATCTCCTTAGCAGCCGTCTGCTTGCGCTGATCCAATTCCTCGCGATCCTCGGTCTCCAGGTCGTAACCGCCCAAATCGCCCGTGCCGAGGAAGTCGCCCGCCGCGAAGATCTGCTCCAGTTGACGAGATCCCTGCGCCAACTCGCGGACACTGATGGCAGGTGGCGCCGCCGCCCCGCCGCTGGGGCGGAGTCGACGCGGATCTCAGCCAGAGCCTGGTGCACCTCCGCGCCGGCATGCTGCAGCTGGCGATGCAGTTCAGCGGTGCTGCCGACCAGTTCCTCGACACCTTTTCAGTTGTCCAGCTTGCCCAACTCTGCACCGAACTTCGTCTCCAAAGCTGCCTGGCGCTGCTCCGCGCTCTGCCATCTCTGGCGGGCCGTCGGAGCCTGGGGGGGGCGCAGGCGCCCTCGCCGCCAGAGCCCTGTTGCGTTCGGCGCCCTCTGCATCGCCGGCCACGTCGGCCAGAGCGGCCAGCACCTTGCACTTGTCGAGGGGCAGAATGGCCACTGGACCAGGCGGAAGAGCTGCCTTGTCGGACGTGTTCGCGTCGGTGCCCGCGCCGCGTCCTCCTCCGCGGCATCCCCGCCCGAGTTTGCTACCTGTTCCTTCTCCCTCGGCGACTCTGGCTCCGTCGATCTCGGCGGTGCTGCGCCTGGGGAAGCTCCCGCAGCGCTTGCAGCGCAACGCGCCTTTGGGATTCATGCTGCAGCCACAGGCGGGGCAAACCACCACGTTGGCCTTAGTACTCTGGGTATACCATGTCTCCTCAACGACGACGACGACGACGAGGACGACGACAGCGACGGGGACCACGGGCGCAGGCGATGCCGAGCGACGAAGAGGGCGAATGCACATCCAGGCATGGCGTGGGGGCCGCGGCCTCAAACATTGAGGCATGGTCGCAGTTTTTCTCACGCCAACCAAATCTTATACCTCTTCATGTCTTGTTTTTGGATTCCGGATCTCGGCGCCCAGATCTGCGCCCATCTAACTTTGTTTCAGCGCCCGCCTTTTCGTTCCTCCGATTCGGCCTCGCGGAGGGCGCCGCGGGCGGGGCTCGGGGGCTAGGCGCAGAGAGCCACGGCGCGAGGGTCCCGCCCTGGCGCCGGGGGCGCGGGAGGGGGGGATGCGACGCGGAATAAAGCGTTCGTGGCGGAGGGGGCATTGAGCGGGGCCCCCGCTGGGGCGCTGGGGGAGCGGGGGACTCGGGGCAGATAGGGGGCAAACAAATAAACCGACCTCGCTTTTGACCACCCTCGCTTCCAAAAGATACCTAGCGATGCCAAACTACGGCCTGTACTGGTCAGGCCGCTTGACGAGGAGGCGCGTGGTATGACTTGGTTTTGTCTGGAAGCGAAAGCGGGGTTGGTAATTCACGCTCTGAGCAGAGAGCCGCGGCGCGGGGGCCCCACTCTGGCGCTGGGGGCGCGGGGGGGGGGGGCGACGCGGAATGCAAAGTGTTCGTGGCGGGGGGGGCAGTGGGCGGGGTTCCTGCCGGGGCGCTGGGGGCGCGGGGGGGCTCGGGGCAGAGAGCCACGGCGCGGGGGCCCCACTCTGGCGCCGGGGGCGCGGGGGAGGGGGGGACGACTCGGAATCAAATGGTCGGAACTCTAGACACCCTGTGCAAGATAATAAAAATGTCGGGGAATAAGGGATCGGGGCGGAGGGGCGCGACGTGCTGAAATAAAAAGATCGGGGCATAGGGGCGCGCGGGCTGGCGGGCAGGGGGGATGCGGAAAGGGAGTGCGCCGTGCCGAAATAAAAAAGTAGGGGCAGAGAGATGTGCCGTGCCGAAATAAAAAGTGTCGGGGCGGAAGGCGCGCTGGCTGGCGGGTGGTGGGGGGCGGAGGGGGCGCGCCGCGCCGAAAAAATGGTGCCGGGGCGGAAGGGTAAATAAAAAGGCTGGGGCTGAGGGGGCGCGCGGGAGGGGGGGGCGTGCCGAAATAGAAAGGTCGTGGCGGAGGGGGCACGCTGGCTGGTGGACGGGGGGATGCAGGGGAGGGGGGGGCGCGCCGAAATAAAAATGTCGGGGCGGGGGGGCGCGCTGGCTGGCGGGTGGGGGATGCGGAGGGGGCGCGCCGCGCCGAAAGAAAGTTGTCGGGGCGGACGGGCGCGCCGTGCCGAGATAGAGGGGTCGGGGCGGAGGGGCGCGATGGCTGGCGGGCGAGGGGGGGAATGCGGAGGGGGCGTGCCGTGCCGGAAATGAGAAGTCGGGGCGGAGAAGTGCGCCGTGCCAAAATAAAAGTGCCCGGGCGGAGGTCGCGCTGGCTGGCGGGCGGGGGGGCGCGGGCGGGGCGCGCCGTGCCGAAATAAAAAGGTCGGGGCGGAGGGGTGCGCCGCGCCGAAATAAAGACATCGGGGCGGAGGGGCCGCGCCGCCAGGGGGGGGCTGCCGGAATAACAAAAAGTCGGGGCGGAGGGGGTGGCTGGCGGGCGGGGGGGATGCGGGGGGGGGGCGCCGTGCCGAAATAAAAAGGTCGGGGCGGAGGGGGCGCGCTGGCTGGTGGGTGGGGGGATGCGGAGGCGGTGCGCCGTGCCGAAATAAAAGGGTCGGGACGGAGGGATGTGCCGTGCCGAAATAAACTGATCGGGGCGGAGGGAGCGCGCTGGCTGGTGGGCGGGGGGGATGTGGAGGGGGTGTCCCGTGCCGGAATACATGGGTCGGGGCGGAGGGGTGTGCCGTGCCGAAATAAAAGGGGTCGGGGCGGAGGGGCGCGCTGGCTGGCGGGTGGGGGGGCGCGGAGGGGGCGTGGAGGGGGTGCGCCGTGCCGAAATAAAGGGGTTGGGGCGGAGGGGCGCGCCGTGCCGAAATAAAGGGGTCGGGGCGGAGGGGCGCGCTGGCCGGTGGAATGCGTGGGCGATGGAAGGGGTGCCGTGCCGAAATTAAGTGGTCGGAACTCTAGACACCCTGTGCAATAGAATAAACCCGTCGGAAGTCTGGGTTGGGGGCAGCCGAATGATTCCAGACAGACAGGGTTGTGGTATGGCCCCGTCCGGCGCCCTCCACGCGCGGTCGAGGACAACTCGCTGCCAGCGATGATCCTGGGTAACTCTTGTGCCGAGAAGGCGGCGCTGGACAGAAGAAACACTCGACAGCTGACCCTCGAAAACCGGAGGGGAATGGCATCCCACGGAAAAGATGGAACACAAATGGGGGGGCGCGGCTGCGGGCAGCGGCTTTAAAGACGCCTGCCAGAACTGGTTTTGTACAGGCGCCTGGAAGTGGCGTTTGAAGGACGCCTTCGGTTGACAGAGGCCTAGCGTGGTAGAGGAGTGGCTGCCGATCGGGAGGTGGCCCTGGAGAAGCCTTCGGCTGGCACACACGTGCACGGTGTACAACACACTGCTCCGCCGCCGGGGGGCGACTGCCGCATGGCGCCTGGGAAATCTGTGCCCCCACGCGTCACCGCAGGGGTGCCAACCTTCAAGCCGCCAGGGGGCAGGCGCCCCCGACGGTACAAAATGTTATGGTATGACAGCTGTCAGGCCGGGCACGTCCCCCACACACAGGCAGAGCTTGGGCGAAAGATAAGACACGCCCCCACAGATACAAGACACATGCTGAACAGACCCAGAAACAAAAAGAACCGTCCCCTGACTATTATGTATCACTTGTTGTCTTCGAACTTGCCTCCTCTAGAGGGACACGCCCGGCTCACGAGACAGTGGCTCCCCCGCTGCGTACTGAGCTGGAGAGGCTCCAACTACACATCGGAGGGGGGGGGGCCATGGGGAAAGCGGCGGCTCTCCCGCCTGGCCCCAAGGCCGCCCCGAGCCGGAGTCGGTCCCCAGGACCTCCCTCGGGATCCCTCCTTGCAAGGGGCCCAGGGACACGCCAAGACGTGCACGCCAAAACCCCAGGACCCCCCATGGTTTCCCAGAGGTTCTGGGCTCTCGTCCTCTCCCCCCCACTCCCCATACCTTCCCACACTTTCCTGGGGATCGCCGATGTTGTGTCTGTGTGCTTCTTTTGTACTCCCCTCCTGACGCCTGGGCCGCGGCGACGGGAGGCCTCCGGGAGGCCCGAGCGAGAACGAAAAAAACCCGAGGTCCGCCGCCGCCTCGACCGCTCTGCGCCCGTTGCCTCCCTGGCCGCGCGCTGTGGTCCCGTCGTCCTCTGTGGAAGCTGGGCGAGGGCCGGCGAACCCGTGGCTGCTACAATGGTCTTCCCCGAAGAGAGAAAAACAGACTCGCGGAATCAAGCTCGGCGCACCAAACAGTACACGGGCGGCTTCCCGGAACGAACAAGCACAATTTCCCGGAGCTGCGTTCTAGCAGCCACGGGTTTTGCCAGCCTTCGCCCGGCTTCTGACACTGGCTGCGCGCTGTGGTCCCATCGTCCTCTCTCCTGCGAGCGCGCCCCAGTGCGGACAAGCTGGACCTGACCATCGCCGAGTTGCTACCGAGACGGGCGCAGAGGAGAGAACCTCCCTTTCCACGCCCTGGACTTCGACCAGGCTGTTTCTGTTTGATCTCGGTGTCATCCTTCATTCCTGGAGAAGGAATCAACTGCACAATGATGCAATGTGGGAACATCACGCGGATTTCCTGGACCGGCGCTGGACACCCAGGGACGGCGCCAGAGGCGCAGCCAGCATGGTCCTGGCACCGATCCAACGAATCCGCGCGGAACAACGAACAGTTGTTCTGCAATTTGCTAGTCCTCGAGGCGGGCTGATGTTTTTTCTATGGAGCAGGAGAGCACTACCGCAGGCGTCGCCCGAAGGGGCGTACTTGTCATACCGACGTTTCAAATAATCCAGCATGGTCACGCGAAGGTTGCCGTTGCAACTGACGACTCGGAGGCCTGGCCACTCGTCACTACTTCTACCAAAGAAATGTGTTTGGTACAAGACGCCGGGGGGGTGGTCACGTCCTTGTGGTCGTCTTCCCCCAGCAAACCTCCGACGGCAAAACCTGATCGCCCTAAATGCTTCACATACACATTCAAGTACAGGATGCCACGCTCTGTGCGTCCATGGACGACCTTCAGCTCTACCTGACCAATAGCAACCCATTGCGGAATCGTCGTAACGCTTTGCCGTGCGCCGTAGTGATACCCTCCAACTTGCTTAGCCTCTGCCCACGAGCCTGTAATGTTCAGTTCTTGAAAATACATATCCGAACAACTTCCGCCCAAGCGGCGCGCATCGGCCTGCACACGAAGCAATGCGTCTTCAGCGCTCACTCCACGAGGGATGTTTATCAGAACATGTTTGCCCGCCTGCATTAAATCGAACCGCTCGCCATGAACATTTTGAAGGTGGGGATCGCCAGTGGCAGCCACGCCTCCGGCAACTCCGCCCGCCATAGGAGCTGCGGGAGGAAACGTTGGTTGTGGCGTCGGCCAACCCAAAGGATATGTCGGGCTGGGCGTCGGGCTAGGCGTCGGGCTAGGCGTCGGGAAAGGCGTCGGGTAGGGCGTCGGGAAAGCGGTCGGGTAAGACGTCGGGAAAGCCGTCGGGTAGGGCGTCGGGAAGGCCGTCGGGTACGGCGTCGGGAAGGCCGTCGGGTACGGCGTCGGGAAGGCCGTCGGGTACGGCGTCGGGTACGGCGTCGGGAAAGCCGTCGGGTACGGCGTCGGGAAGGCCGTCGGGTACGGCGTCGGGAAGGCCGTCGGGTACGGCGTCGGGTACGGCGTCGGGTACGGCGTCGGGTTCGGCGTCGGGGCGTCGGGTACGGCGTCGGGTTCGGCGTCGGGTCGGCGGCGTCGGGTACGGCGTCGGGTTCGGCGTCGGGTTCGGCGTCGGGTACGGCGTCGGCGGCGTCGGCGTCGGGTTCGGCGTCGGCTTCGGCGTCGGATACGGCGTCGGCGTTACGGCGTCGGGTTCGGCGTCGGGTTCGGCGTTCGGCGTCGGATAAGGCGTCGGGTTCGGCGTCGGGTTCGGCGTCGGCCTCGGCGTCGGGTACGGTGTCGGCCTCGGCGTCGGGTACGGCGTCGGCCTCGGCGTCGGGTACGGTGTCGGCCTCGGCGTCGGGTACCGCGTCGGCCACGGCGTCGGCCACGGCGTCGGCCTCGGCGTCGGCCACCGCGTCGGCCACGGCGTCGGCCACGGCGTCGGCCTCGGTGTCGGGTCAGGCCCTTTCGCCGCCAGAGACCTGTCCAACGACTGCTGATCATCCGCGTCCCGGAAGCCCTTGGAGCTCCTGTCCATCAGCACCTTTGCCGCCGGGGAGCTGCTGGGGCTGGCCACCCTGCAGAGGCTACACGTTGCAGGGCAGGTCGCCTGCACAGTGCTGCCATACTTCACATCTCCGCAATAAGGCTGCACTTCAGCACAACCACTGATCGTGACGCCAATGCCGCTGGCCAGCGCAATGATGTGGGCGTCGTCATCTTCACACTTCGACTTGGAACTCACACCTATCGAGGTCGCAGTGGGTACGCAAATGCTGAGGACGAATGCGACCGCGGACCACACGATCCAAGTTGCCTTCTGGACCGCCATCCCAAGGAACAGAAATGAAAGGACCCGCAAGCCAAATGTTTTCGCGCGTGTGTGTATCTAGATTACGGACAAGATGAAGGTTGCTCGAAATCTGCCGAAACCGGGATGCATTGAGCCAAAATGACAAGGGATCGAGGCGGGCTGTTGTTGGGCGCAAGATGGGTCCATCACAAAGTCCGCTGAAGCGGAAGACGGTCCACGGTTGGGGGGAGACGTCGAAGATGCGGGTGTCCACCTTATCTGTGTATATATACACATACATCATATGTGTATGTATGAGATAACGCGTTTCACGGACGCTTGCCTTGGGAACATTCGGCCGGCGCCAGCGGCCGCCAGCAACGCCGACGGCGGGGACGCAGCGACGATGACCCGAGGCAGCCCAGAGGGGGGGGGTTCAAGCCCCCCCCCCTGGCGCCGGCGCCGGTGCCGGCGGCGGCCAGCAGCGCCATCGCTGGCGCCGGCGCCGGCGGGGGCGCAGCGACGATAACCACCACTACCACCACCACCGCCACCACTACCACCACCACCACCAACCCACCACACAACCACCACCACAACCACAGCCAACACAACCACCACAAGCACCATCACCACAACGCACCATCACCACAACCACCACCACAGAAAACACACTACAACTACCACCACCAGCACAATCTACCACGCCACCACCACCACCGCCACAACCACCACCACTACCAGCAGCACGACCCACCAGCACCACAAACCACCACACCACCACCACCATCACCGCAACCACCACCAGCACCACCTTCACAAACCACCACCACCACAACCCACCACCACCACCACCACAAACCACCACAACATCCCCACAATACCACCACCACCACCACAACCCACCACCACCACCACAAACCACCACCAAACAACCACCACACCACCACCACCACCACCACCCACCACCATAACCACCACCACCACAACAAACCACCACACCACCACCACAACCACAACCACCACCATCGCCACCACCACCACCGCCACCACCACCAACACCACAACCCATCACCACCACCACCACCGTCGTCCTCGTCGACGCTCCCCGCCGCCCCCGCCCGCCGCCGCAGGCGCCGGCGCCGGCCCAAAACAAAACATCGTCGCCCCCGCCGCCGCCGCCAGCCGAGGAGAAGGAGAGGGGAAACGTAGGGGGGTCTCGTGCCCCCCCCCGTCCAAGCGACCACGGACCGCGATTTTCGTATGTATGTATGCATACATGTATGTTTGCGTGTGTATGTGTACGCATGTATGTGTGTAGGTGGATAGGTCGATGGGCAATACGATATGTATGTATGTACGGATGTATGTGGCATACATGTATGATTGAATGATTGCATGTGTATGTATGAATACATGGTTGCATTAATGTGTGTGTGCATGTATGTGTTTATGGGGATATTCACGTAATCGTGTGTTTGTAAATCACACATGTAACGTATGTACTGTATGAAGTGGATGTATGATATTGTGTATATGTGAATGGATGGATGTACGGGCGTACGTAGGTTTATACGTATGTAAAAGGCCGCGTGTGTATGTGTACGTATATACGCACGCACGGTCGCGCGTACGTACATACGTACGTATGTGTGTACGTGTATGGCTATGAACGTTTGCATGTACGAACGTATGTATGTATGCATGTATGCCTAATAAGGAGGCCGGCAGGCATGCGTGTATATATGTCTGTATGCATGGATGTGTCTACATGTATTCATGTATGTATGCCTGCATGAATGTATGTATGTGCATGCATATGTATGCGTATATGCGTATGTATGCATACTTGCTTGTGCGCAAATGCACCAACGCTCCGAACATTTATTCCGGTCTGAGAGGCACGGCGCCGCGCGAATGCAACGCAAACGTTGCGCTGGAAGGGCGCGGCAATTCATGTCCCCTGGACAGGCGAGAACAGCCGCGCCCCCGTGCGAACCCCGATCCCGCGCGGGGCGCACTCCCGCTGACAATGGTTCCCCTGGGAAGCCGTTTCTTGCGCGGGAAGTCCTGGGCGGTCTGCCCATCGGCGGTTCCTTCGGACGATGCCCATCGGCGGTTCCTTTGGACAAAGAAACCGTTTGTCATGGGATGTTCCAGGCGATTTGCCCACTTTCGGTTTCTTCGGAGCGGGCCCGAAGACCTCGACTCGAGAAGTACGTTTTTGCAAAGAGACCCAAGCGGTTTGCACACATCCGGGTCGTTCGAACAGGGCCCGGATTTTTTGTTGGTGGGATTTGGCCACTTTCAGGTCGGCCGATAAACTGTTCGGGTCGTCGCATGACCGGGCCCGAAAATTTTTTTCGAGTGCTCATTTTCGGGTCAATACACCGTTTGGGATTAAACATTTCAAATTGGGACGGGGAACCCGATCCCGCGACCCTGGGCGGGGGCAAGGCTCTGCCCTTGCATTGTGCTGGGCCCTTCCGGCCAAACGGGGCGCTGGGTTGCCCGTCGGCGCGCCGACTATGCCCTCGCGACATCGCCCCCGTCCACCATCGGGCCCCGCGAGTCGTATCCTGCGCGCGCCACCCCAGATGGCCGCGGCGAGCACGGTGGCGAAATTGGGGGAACCTTCGGATCGGCGCAGTATGTATGTTTGTATACATTACAAACTAGAGCCATGCGCGCGCTTCACGCGCGCTTAGGCTCCGTCGTGCCAATCAGCGGATAGGCACGCACACCACCCAACCAAAATCGCCACGCGGGAACACCATCGCAAACGTGAACACACACAGTTTATTCCTTCACCGTGCCGCCGGGCACGGGACGAGCGTGTCCCAAATCCCCTGAGCCTCAATCCTCGATCAAGAGGGCTCGTGAAGGGCCCGGATTCCAAAATTGCAGATCTCCATGGGTTTGCCGAAAGTTGGAAGGGGTCGGGAGGCCCAACCAGCAGCTTCGCCTAAGGCGAAGCCCAGATCCAACTCTGTTGTACCGCAGCAGCGATGGCCCCAGAAGTAGAATATCGTCGCGGGAACGACGGGCCATCTCCAGCGAAAATGCTTTCGGTCTCGATAGCAAGCGGCGCGCCCCCCAACGAGGTGCAGTCGTATCTTGGCGGTCGGCCGGCCACGGACAGACGCTCGCTATCTCGCTTTTGCCCCAGCCCCCTTTATTGGAGTCGGGGGGGGTGCGATGCGTCAGTCCGCCGCCCGCTAAAGGCAACACTAAAGGCAGTCGCTACAGGCAAACTCAAATGGAAAGTGAACCCGCGCGCAAGTACCCCTGCGCGCAACTTGCCTTGCGAGCAAATCGTTCTGCAAACGAATACTCGCCAGGCGGCCTCAAACGGCGCTGTCTGGCCAGCCCGGCATGGAGTATGACGCTTTAAGTCGCGCGTGAAGGATTGCGTTCCTCTCGTGACCTGTGAGAGCATACTTACGCAGGCCGCGGGATTTTCCTCTTGAGCCCCACATGTCGGAAGCCACCCCCTCCTCCTCCCACCTCCTCCCTCCTCCTCCCACCTCCTCCCTCCTCCTCCTTCCTCTTTCGTCCGTCTGCCTCCCTCCTCTCTCCTCCCTCCTCCTCCTCCTCCTCCTCCTCATCCTCCTCCTCTTTTTCCTCGTCCTTCCTCCTCCCCCCCTCTCTTCCCTGATTGTTCCTCCTCTCTTCCCCCTTGCGCCCCCTCTGTTCCCATCCCACCTCCTCGCGCCTCTTCCCTCATATTTCCCCTCTTCATCCTGGGAAGAACCCCCATCCCCCGTAGAATCATAGCATTGGTCTGCAGATTCACAACTCCGTGGATAGCATGCTGCATCACTTGCGGTGCTCCGCGGATCCCATTTCCCCTGGGTCCCGGATGTTAATTATTATTATATAGTTATTCCCGGGAAATAAATGGATCCATCGTTTTTTTCATACACAAGAAACTGGGTCCGCGCAACACAGAAATATGATCCACGAAACTCCCCCACACCCGAAAAGGGATCACATTGGACCCATTGGTGTTCTCATTTTTTCTCATCCAAGAGGAAAAACTTTCGGCCTGGGGATGTATCTCTGTCAATGCTCCCTTTGGTGTGACCGTCCGTTGGCATGTCGCTAGTGTCACACCAGTGTATACTATGCGCGATACCTCGCTCCATCATCTGTCGTGCACAACTGATGTGTCCAAAAAGATTGCACTCGGCTGGTTCTTCTGGTCTTTGCATGGCAAGGACTTCAAGACATATTCAGCATCCATGGCCAAAGTGACCTTACTGCTCAGGCTCCCCATCCCCAGTATATCCTTCCACTGAGTGGGTGTCAGCGGCCCAGCGTGGATTTCGTGCAGCGTGGCGATCGCGGGTTAGCAGTCCTCCGAGTTTTGGGCTGCTGTTCGCGCTTCTGCGGAGTAGCTCGAGCGGGCCTGCAAGCGGCGCGACTTGAAATGCGCATCGATAAAATAGACGACAGGCGCACCAGCAGGCGCGCTTCCATGCCGTAGCAAGTTTGCCCCGCGAATGCAATTGCCCTTGACCTCACCATCAGCGTTTCCGCTCGCACGTCGGTAGC